TGTGTGCTTTGTTATTCGTAGAAAAAAATATTTTTATTCCTAAGGCGACAAACTAATTGCTATATTTAAAGAATTGAATTTGGCAATCTATAAATTATTTTATAAATAATTCTTAAACATTTTCTTAAGAAATACACTAGATTACAAAATTAATTAATTAAATCTGTTATAACTTGTAAACTACCTTTATTTTATTTTACGCCAATTATTTGTATCATTTAAAACAATTTCAAATTAAATATAATTTGATTTCTTTTGATTATTGCTGATTTTATTCTTTTAAGAGGTATGAAAAAGTCGCTTTAACATACACACCATTCTCATAGAATTATTTTGCGTATCTTTGGCGCCAGTTATCTGACCACATAAACCAACAACAATAATAATAACAACAACAATGACATCGGCAGCGGCAAGGCACCATTAAAAACATAATTTATCAACAATTTACATGCCAAGTCCAAGGCGTTTGTTAAGTGTTATTAAAAAATTACAAGCATCGACAACGAAAAGTACGGCAGCCAGTACGTGTGTGATGGTATCATTTTGCAGGTCTCATGAATATTCAAGAGGAATACCGAAGCCGAGGAAATTGCAACTATAGTTTTACCAATCACAAACTAATACTAGTTTGAAGGATCGCAGAGGTTTCAATTGCCAGCAATTATATATTGCCATTGCACAGCCCCAAGAAGTCCACAATTATGGATCCCCTCATCTCAAGACCCAGCAATTGTAGATGGTCAATTTGTGTCCGAATGCCGATCAGCAATCGTATCGTATACAAAACATCTCAATTCGATTGGTAAACTTTTCCTTTTAAGAGCCAGAATAAATAAACAAACATGCGGCTGCATGGAAAAAGTTACCGAGAAGTTTCACTTATCTCCAATGGAATGGAAAACTTTTCGAAAACAAACAAATTATCGATAGAAGATTTATAATAAACATTTGCTATGTGAGTTATAAATTGATATAGTTGTTGTGAAAAAAAAAAACTGCATAAAAACACTAGCCATAACTTGTTTTGGATTATGTTTAAAGTGGTTCTTATTTTTATTTATCTTGCAATGTTTAAAGTATGTTTAATTTTATTTAATACATTTCTGAAACATCTTATTACTCAAAATGTGCAATCATTTTATTAAAAAGGAAATAAAGAAACACCTTATCATTGTTATACTATTTTTCAAATTCCTATTTTCAAAATTCTTTCCAGTCGGAATGTAATTGTTTTCTATAGAATTATTTAAAAAAAAACAAAATACTAATATATCAGTTATGTTTAATTAGGTAACATTTTCAAAGAACTAAGTGTTAAAATTGATTAATATTTGTAAAAAAAATACTGCCCAATAAAGCAGCCCAAATTTGGGATATCTTATCTACGATCGCATTCCGCGCAGCCACCACTCGACGAGCGATCGCATCATTTGGAACCCGCGTTTCTGGCGAGGCACTGATTTCAGATTTGAGATTCGAGAACTGAGATTTAAGATATCTGAAGCATTTGGCACGTGGGTGACCGGCAAATGCGGAAGCGTCACTTGACGATGGCCAAATATGCGCCTGTAAAAGTATCTCAATCTGTATCTGTATCTCTATCTGTATCTGGATTTGAGTCGGAATCTGGATCTGTATTCGTGTAGCTGTGAGCATCTGCAGTGCCTCATAATCATTCAAGTGGGTGTCTTCAACATGAATGAAATGGAATTGGAAGTGGAATTGAAATTGGAATTGGAAGAGCAGCAGTGCGGCCACAAAAAATCTCGTTCAGTCACTTTGCGAAAAGCACAAAACAGAACAACATACAAATGTATCTGCGGGCCTGTGGATGTATCTTCGTATCTGTATCTGTATCTGTATCTGTATCTGTATCTGTATCTGTATCTGAATCTCTATCTGTATCTGTATCTGTGTGCCTGCAGAGCAATCGAATCAAGAGACAAACTGGGTAATTGGTTCATTATATAGTAGAAGCCAACGACATCCGCTCGTTAATGTAAATTACACAATAGTTTCGAATCATTTTTTTCATCTGCGCTTAATTTTTCATTCCATCTCTTTGTGTGGAAATCGCAGGATAGGGATAAGTTTGTGCAATTAATGCTTACAATATTTTCAATATCGGAAAATATAATTTTCACATTGTTTATATATCGAAAGAAGTTTTAACTTTCATTTATAGAAACATATGTGTGTATATAGGCACAACTTTGATGCACATATCAATGCTTTATGGTATTTCTTACTTTACTTATGTATATTATCAACAAATCAAACTCTTTTTAATCATGTACCCAGAAAATCATTTTTGTATAATAATGCACTCAGAATATCTTTCATAAAAAATTTAAAAAAACAAAATGCCTACCGAGGTTCCTAATTTATTTGTCCAGTAATTTGACATTTTCCTGGAGCCTATAACCTCAAATTTCGCTCCATATTGCCGCCCGATGTAAACACAGTCTGGTAACTGGATTATAATCCCGCCCGATGTAAACACAGTCTGGAAACTAGATAATAACGCACCTAGAATTTCTTTCTTAAAAAAGTTAAAAGAACAAAACAACTACCGAGGTGTCAAATTTATTTGTCCAGTAATCTTAAATTTCCCTGGAACCTAATACCACAATTTCCCCTTCATAATCCCGCCTTCTGTAAACACAGTCTCGAAACTGGATAATACTGCACCCAGAATATCTTTCATAAAAAAATTAAAAGAACAAAATGCCTACCGAGGTGCCAAGTTTATTTGTCCAGTAATCGGACATTTTCCTGATACCTAAAACCGCAATTTCCCCCTCTATTATCCCGCACGATGTAAACACAGTCTGGAAACTGGAAGTTTATTATTTTTTCATAAATAAACTATAAGAACAAAAACCTACCGACTGCCAAATTTATTTGTCCAGCAATCTTAAATTTCCCTGAAATCTAAAATCACAATTTCCCCTCTATAATACCGCCCGATGTATATAACCACAGTCTGGAAACTCGAAAATAATGCACTCAGAGTTTCTTTCATAAATAAGGTAGAAGAACAAAACGATTACCAAGGTGTTAAATTTATTTGTCCAGTGATCATTTATTTCCCTTGGATCTAAAACCATAATTTCCCCTCCATAATCCCGCCCGATGTAAACACAGTCTGGAAACTTTCCATTAGTCCGGGGAATCGGAGATAACGGCAAAATAACGAGCAGAGATCGCACAAAATCGGAAATATGATAGAAAATGTTATTGGGATATGGAAATATTGAATGAGGATCTACTGTAGTCTAAATTTATTAAACAATTATTGGACATTTTTTGTGTTGCCTGTGTTTTATTTATTATTATTCCGTTAAAGAGACCTGGTGATCGAGAAAAAGAGCAATCGAAAGAGATGTGAAGAGAGAGGCAGGCGGTGACAAAGAGAGGAAGGGAGAGCGGGCTGATAAAGCAGCAGGAGCAACAACAACAGCAAACAAATACAATGCGAATTATCAGTGGACTGCGTGATATGATTATCAAAAGGTTTCCCATTGCTGTTGTTGTTGCAGCGGCTGCTGGCAACGGCATTTCTGAGCATACATATAAGTAGACAGAACACATATATATATATATATATATATATAGAAGTATATATACATATACATACCCCATACACGCACATTCCAATACATGTGAATATGGAACAGTTTATTCATCCAATCCATATATAATTAAGACGTTTTCAACGTGCTTTGATAGCGCCCAAAAAGAAAGACAACAAACAACAAATATTTAAACAAATATGTAAATACCTAATGATGAACAAATTAACCAAACTGAAAGAAATGAAATCGAAATTGATTTTGCTTAAGACAACTCAATGAAATACTTTCAATTTAAAGAACTATTTTCTTAACCAATAAAACTTATTTTTTTACAAAAGATTTAGTTCTTATTAATACTATGTTTTTTATACCCTTGCAGAGGGCATTATAGTTTCAGTCAGAAGTTTGCAACGCGGTGAAGAAAACATTTCCGACCCTGAAAAGTATATATATTCTTGATCAGCATCACTAGGAGTGTCGATCTAGCCATGTTCGTATGTTAGTCCGTTTCTACGCAAACTAGTCTCTCAGTTTTCAAGCTATCTGCATGAAACTTTCTCAACAAAAAAAAAACAATAAAAATATAAAAAAAAATTTTTTTTTCCTTTTTTACTTTCTGGCCTCTTCGATTAGTAAGCACAATTGGTTGGATAACAAAGGTCAGGCTATCAGTTTCCAAGTATTTTGTTATCAATTCTTAACACCCTTTCTCATTCTCCCTCTATTTTATTGTATATTTTCCACTTCAAATCTTTTCCTTTTCCCCCCGTAGCATCGTTACAATAATGGAATAATGGAGCACGTCTAATTCAATTCTCGCACTAGCGTAGATCCAATTTTTTGAGAAGGATGTTTGCGATCCAAAAACTATTTTACCTATTATTTCAATATGGAATCGATATTTTTGGAACATTTTTTTGATTTTATAGTTCACTCAATATTAACTTTATATGCATTGCTTTGCTTTATAAAATTTGATATCTATATATTACTATAACTAGATTTTGTATTTATATATACTTTTTGAATTTAATACTATATACTATTGTATTTTATAGCAAACTATGAATTAGTGTACAAGAGATGGGGTTCGAACCAAAAAACAAACCCTTTGAATATCATTTAATTTCCTGATTATAAAATGTTTAATTTAATAGAGATGCGTATGTATATTCTTTCGATATACTTATTATAAGATACTCGAGGTGGATGGGGGGGAGGGCTAATAACCTCTAAAGTCCCCGTTTGACTGCACCACTGGTTGCACATATATATACAAATATATATATATATGTATATATATGTGTGTAAATACTTTAACACACTCAAAACGAACAACTCCCACAGTTCACTTTCATTGATAAACTCGGCTCTTCGCTCTTCTTCTTCGCCATGCAAATCCAATTGTCTGCTACTTACTTTATTTTTTGTGGTGTGTGTGACATCAATCAGCATCGCTTTGTTGTTTTTTGCTATTGTTGTTGCTGATGCTGTGTTATTTATTATTTTTATTATTATTTTTTTTTTTGTTGCTCGACAATTGAAGCTAACCAACATTAAACTATAACTTCCTCACAAACACACACGCACTGCACTCTCAACAAAAACAACAAAAAACAAATATCATACATGGTATTATCATATTAAGTATAGCATTAATTCAAGTTAAATAAAAGAGAGGAGCGCGCGCAAGTTTGAATACTTTAAAAGGCGCGCGCACAATTATGAAATGTCACTTTTTTGCAATCAATTAATACTTGAATGATTTAGTAAGTTTGGAAAACCAACAAAAAAACAAATCCTAAAAAGGCACAATTTATTATCCTATTCACTTCGATCACCAGCACTTCATTATTCAATTAAATAATTAACGCCCGGTAGCAGTTCCGTTTTTTTTCTTTTTTGTCATCCCTGATATTTGCTTTATTTCTCGTACATTTTTTGATTCCGGTGCGATATTCACGCTGCAAACCGCCGACACAAAATGAAAATGAAAATGAAATTCAATTTGTTGCTGATATTCGTTTGGCTCTCTTAGCGCTTTTTTCGTCTCTCTTTCGCATCGGTTCGCGCTCTTAGATGCTCTTTCATTGTGCTCTTTACCCATTTAACGCCGTCGCCCTGGTTAACGAGATAAGCTTTTTAACTGGAGGATCATGTTAATGTTAAAAAGTTCCTGATCATGTTGGCTAGATATAAAGAAAATAAATGGTCATGTTAAGCTGCACTAAATAAAAACAATCTTAAATTTCTTATAAATCAAGTAGAAGCCGATTTAAGTTAAGGGGTTAAAAAACCCTGATCATGTTAACAAAATGTACTAAGTGTACTTATTCAGAAAAATTGTAAATGCTTTAAAATATTCATTTTATTATAACTTGTTTTTCGAATACGTCTTAAAGTTTTCAAAAAACACGTTAGATAAATGATAAATATGGCATATATAAATAATCCAAGTCCATGGCAGCTATTTATCTGTTAAAAATGTAAATATTTTTATTATAAACTATCTAAGATTAAAAAAATGAAATATTTAATTATCAAACCTATTGCTTTTGTAAACACGGTATTTTTTAATTCAAATCAATTTCAATTCTGAAATTATTCAGATGCTCTTAAAGGAAATATTTAGGTGCATACTTTTCGGTGGGTAAAATACTCGATTGAGTAATGAATTAACCATAGGTTTTTTATTAGTTTTTTAAGATCTCTTTAATCTAGAGACGATAGGTGTTGAATTCGTTACACATGGTAAAGTAAAATTGAACACATTCCACCTTTAAAATATTTGATAATGAATTATATGTAAATATATTTTATATTCATCTGTTAATATAATTATAAAATAACCTTTTAAACATTGTTTTTTTGTTAAGAATCTTTTTAAATAACACTTATTTACAGGCCCAAAATTGTGTTTAAATTAAAAAAAAATTTATTATACCATTGGGGCAACGAAAAATACCAAGTGTTTGATTTACACTTGCTTAAAAAACTTTTGTGCTATGCCATTCCTAACTGCAGAGCTTGGCCCATTTAGCTATATGTTAATTTTTTATTTTAATACAAGTCCGATGGCTGTTTTAAGGATAAAGACTCCCAGTACAAATACAACCAAGTAAGTTACATATAAGCGCACTTAAGTGTTGCTACTACTACAGAAAAAAAAAATAAAAGAAAGGAGCCAGATTTACCAATAAAGCGCCCTTGAGTGTTACCTCTTCTACTTGGCCAAAAAAGAAATCTTCACTAGTCCTTGAATTTGCCCAGCACGATGTCCTTGTAGAAGGGAACGCAGTTCATGCGCACATTGAGTCTGGCGCACAGCAGAAAAATCCCGGAGAGCTTGCGATGGATGGAGTAGATCTCCTCGGGCGGCGGGCAGAGTCGATGGGCCACCATGGTGGGCACCAAGGCGGCCAGCCGCTCGGTGGTGTTCTGCTTGCCAAAGTCGAATTCCCCATCGTAGCGAAAGATCTCGCCCAGTATCATCACCGCATCCACGTGCGCCTGCTCCATCTGCTTCGTCTCGTAACCGGTGAGGAAGCCCATCTGGCGCGACATCTCCAGCACTCCCTGCCGATTGTCCTCCGCCGCACTCATGATCACCTGGCGGTAATTGCGAATGAACTCATGCCGGTAGAAGCGCGTCGAGCCAAAATCGATCAGCATCAGTCGGCGACTGGGTGCATCGTACAGGAAGTTGGACCAATTCGGATCCGTCTGCATGCACTCGATCTCGAACAGTTCACGCAGGCAGAGTTTCAGCACGGAGGCGGCTATGTGGGCACGATGCTCGTAGCTGCAAGGGATTGCAAGAGTCTAGATTATATATCGATTAACAATGGAGATGGCTGCCATGCTTACCTCAAGTCGAAACACTTGTCGAGCGGCAAACCCGGCACCAGTTCGGTGGTGAGGACACTGGAGGTGGTCAAATCGCGCACCACACGCGGCACATAGTACTCCGGATAGGGGGCGATCATCTCGCGGAACTTCTCCGTGTATTCCGCCTCGCGATCATAGTCCACCTCCCATTGCAGCTCCCGCTTGGCCACGCGCACCACATTGTCGATGAAGAAGCCCTGCGGAAAGACGTCCCACACCTTGAGCATGCCCACCAGATTGTCAATGTCGCTCTCGATGCTCTGGGCCACGCCGGGATATTGGATTTTAATGGCCACATCCATGCCATCGAGCAGTTTGGCCCGATGCACCTGGCCAATGGAGGCGGCCGCAAAGGGTTTCGCCTCGAAATGGCTCAACCGCTGGCGCCAATCGGCCCCCAACTGGGTGTTCATCACCCGCTCCACCTGCCAGTCGGGCATGTAGTCCGCCGCCTGACGCACCCGCTCAAAGGCCTTGGCCAGCTGCGGCGACACTACGCTCGAGTCCTGGATACTTAGTATCTGGCCAATCTTGAGGGCAGCTCCACGCACCTTGCACAACGTGTCCACAATGCGTTCGGCATTTGCGGGACTGAGGAGAGCCTCCCGCATCGTCGTCGAACCGCCCAGGCCGAGGGCTCCCTTGGTCAGCTCGCTGAGCGTGCCGACGCCCAGGCCGGCGAAGAGGCCGCCAAAGGAGGCCATCCTGCCGATGCGCGACGAGGGCACCTTCCGCTGCTTGGCCACCTGGCTCAGGGCGGGCACATCTATGGGCTCCTGCTTGGCCTGCGTATCGGTTTGTGGCTGCGATTGCTCCTTTGCCTTGGCGCCTGCCACAAAGCGCAGCACATTGTTGACATACTCCGTGTCCTGGGTAATGATGCCCGCATCCGCCGGCCCCTGGGCCATCTTCGTCTGACTGCTTTTGGTGGCCGGGGTGCGCAGACTGACACTGCGATCCTTGTTTCGGCGCGAGAGTATCTCCTCGAATTCCTGCAGTGTTATGGAGGATATATCCAGATTGGCGGCGTCCCAATTGCTTGGATTATGCACCGTAGTGGGGGGTTTTTTTCTGTTCGTGACGTTGGCCGTTGCCGATGCACTGGCTTCCAAACTGCCCGATTCCTCGCGCGACTGCTTCACTTTGGCGTCCAGGAGGGAACAAATGCCTTTGGCCACCACGTAACCCCTTTCGCCGGTTTCCTGGAGCGCCAGTTGCAGTTTTCTCAATTCCTCGGTGGGATTTTGGCCAGATTTCCTCACCAGCTGCGCCGTATGTTCGGCATTCGTGGCGATGAGTTCACGAATGCTCGAGTTGCTCCAAAGATGACGACCGTGGGCGAGATGCTCGCGCCCACACGCCTCCATCACGATTTGAAGTCCGCGCAGCAGCGCCAGCATTTCTTGGGCGGATCGCGACATGGCCAGCGGGGGGGGCGGATACTGGTTTGCAGCTCTCGCCTTCGCGCCAAGGTGATTCAACACGCCAACGATCTAATTACGCTCCGGATTACGTAAATCGAGTAAAATGCTCGCAAAATGTTCGAAGAAGCCCGCAATGTTGTGAAAATGCGGCGAAAATCAGCTGCGAAATCAGCTGTCCGATTGGCAGAGTTGCCACATCACCTTTTTTTTTAATTGAAAGCTTTAAAGCTGTTTTCTAACCCTTTGTTTACATTGGCAGTGCAAACAGCAAAAGAGTTGGCAGATTAGATTTTTTATTGCATTTGTAGCTATCTAAAGGCTGGAAGCTGCAGCACTTAAGTACTTCTCTAGCTTAATTAACAGTGGCAGAGCTGACACATCAGCGTTGTAAGCGCGATTTTTGCCATTTTTTAACAGTGGCAGTGATGACTTAACAGCGATTTCAAATGATTTTGGGTTTTATAACATGCCAGAAAGACAGAGTGGTCCAAATAGCTTTTTCATTGCGTTTCTAGATATGTAATGGTTGAAAGCTGTTACTCTGAACTTTTTAACACTTACAGTGCTGACAAATCAGCAATTTTATGGCAGAGCTGTTAAAAACGCGATTTTAAGTTAATTCTGGCTTTTTTAACCGTAGCACTACGATTTTACACTATTTTTACCTTCAACGTGGCCTTACTTTTGTTTTTAGTAACAATAAAATCTCAAATAAAGTGAGTTGCTCGGATTGTCAGAAAAATTAAAAGGCATATATGTAATTTTGAACATGCAATTAATTTTCATTTAAATGAGTTTTTGTTATCAGCATTTAATTTTTTGTTAGCAATTCAAGATTCAAAATGTAAAATTCACGTTCGTTATTCGTAAAGTAAGAAGAGCGTTTTTGACGACCTGTAACCCCATAGCCATAGAAGCTAGATACCATATTTAAACAGCCATATTCCGCCACAAAAACAGTGAGCCCTGCTGAAGTGGCCCGATGACAGAGCCCACGTTTATTCAGCAGCCTAGGTTAGGTCGTAAAAAATATTAGATTAAGTATGTGTACCGAAATCCAAATCACAAGCGAATATGTCTATATACAATTTGTGACTAACTAGAGTTTAAGCTATTTCAATTGCACTACATCCACGCGACAGGCACTGTGATTTATTTTCCTCACCGGCACCCGACATCCGGCACCCGACATCCGATGTCCATGCCCATGTGTCCTACTTTCTGGGCAGACGACCAGCACGTTCCAGGGCGGGATCCTCCAGCTCCCAGGCGGGTCTATAGCCACTCGGATCGCAGGAGCAACCGGAATCGGAGTCACACTCGCACTGCGAATCGGTATCTCTGAAGTGTCTGAGGTGCGGATTGGGAATCGTATTGGATCGATTACCGACCGAGGTATATCCCCGATCGTACAGACTGCAGTACGGCACCGAGTGCATGTGGATGTAGTGCCAGATATCGTGGTAGCTCCACTCCAGCAGAGGATTCAGACGCATCATCGGCGGCCAGTCGTTGTCAGTGGGCTGAAAATAAGAAGGGAAATATAAAGCATTAGACTTGTCTTTGAATGAAGAACAATAGAAAGAATTACACATTTCAAATGGGAATGTAAACATCGAAATCTAACAAAAAGATGTAATACTTGGATTTTTCAAATGGAAAAATGCGAATTTAATATTTTAAACAGCATAATATGTTTTCCTAATTTGAGCAAAGTAACGAATATGCAATCGAATTCATAACAATTTGAGGTTTACAATACAACCAACGTGATTTAATTGTCTTTGCTGACTAATTGCCACAAAAAAAGATTCGCAAAAATCAATTAATAAAAAAAAAAGAGAGATTAATACTTGAAGGACATTCATAGCTTAAATTTGATTACAACAAATTGTAATCACGTTTTTTCAAATGTTACTTGAGAAAATGAGACGTGCTTTATTGCAAATAAGCCACAGACCCTTGGACTCGACGAGTATCGTTTATAAGTACACCCTTATCTGGGTTATAAGAAACATGACATTGAGAAATGCATATCAAAGTGATATTTATAAAAGAAAATGTAACTTTCAATGATAATTATATACAGCACAGCCTGTATGATTTATGATTCTTTAATTATAAAACTGACTCATGAATTCGGGGACTGATTTTTACAAAATATAACTAAATTATTAAAATAAAAGAGAACCTACAAAAACTTTGGCAATTTGACATACGTTTGAAGAAGATTTAATTTAGAAAAGTCTGCTAAATATTCAAAAATTTAAATTGGGACAATGATCATAAATAGTTTTCAAAGTATTTGAACATTAAGGCCTGCATGTAGATAAAGATTTCTTTGGCAACCATAATCATGAACCCATCTTTAGGATTTCCTATCTATTCCATAATAAAACTGGTAAACTTTGAATGAAAAAAGAGGGACTTTTTTTTTTGGCTTCACCTGCATGGGCGCCAAGTGCTGGCAGTAGGGATCCGTGTTCCGGCTGCCAACGAAGACGGCTTTGATGCGTGGCATGTCGGCTGCCATGTGGGTGAGTGCCTCCTTGAGGGATCCCTCGTACTCCACCAGCTGCACGCGATAATGACGAACGCAGCGCTGGACAAACTCGTCGATTTCCGTGAAGGAATCACCGGATTTGATGTACAACATGGGAATGTCACCGCTGGAGATGTTCTCCTGCCGAAGGAAACGCATGAGGAGATCCAGGAGGACGGTGCAATCCTTGCCGCCGTTGAAACAGAAGATTAGCTCCTCCACGCCGTAGATTTGCAGGGTTTCTGTGAAGAAGGCGAAGGCTTTCCGTTGCCTTTCCTCGATTGCCAGTCGATCCTCCGTGGATATTTCCCAGGAAGTGGACATATCTTGAGGCTGGACATCCAGCGGCTCCTGCGGATTCTCTGGACCTTTCGACATGCTCCAACTTTGCAGAAACAAATGCTTTTTGGTGTCCGTTTTTGTGGATATTATCGTGCTGGTTGTGGCTGTTTTTGTGGTCCGGCGGCATTGGTTCATGATGCTCAGTGGGCGGTATGGTAGCGGGGGGCGTGGCCGTGCCCTGAGCAGTAAGCACGATGATGTCACAAGCTGTCGATGTGAACAAAATTGGCAATTAAAACGCTTTGGAAAAAGCCAAAATAGTAAAATAAACAAAAACTTTCTCCGAAATCTGTTGGTATATTGGTGTGTTGGTGGGCTGTGTTTTTATATAACATTGTATGTGTGTGTGCCTTTTAACTAACTTTAACTTTGTTAATAAAGTGGTAAATGCTTCAGCGGTTAACGCTCAACTGATTTGGCTTATCAGCAAGCCAAAATTACATCACAATCGTATCGAAAAAGTAAGCAAAATAAAACCAAAACCCCAAGCACTCACAGACACACACGCACACACGTGTGTAAGCCAAACACATGGCGCTCACACACACACACACATATACTTACCCAACAGCGCATGTATTTGTTGTTGCCTCGACAATTATTGTCACATTTAACTATTTTTCCGCAGCGACGATAATGCAATTATTTCATTTTGTTAATTGGTATTCCATGCCAGTGATTTGCCTTCCTTTTTTCGCTTTTTAACATCGATGCAACAATCAAAGCGAACGCAACAACAAATGCTCGAAGCTTCGGGGTCTATCGGAAAATCAGCTGTTTAAATAGAATTATCGATAACACTGGTGAAGGATAGATAAATAGCTAAATATTTGAAAAAGTAGCTAAATTTCCTGAACTTGCTAATAACGCATCTCATAAACACATCCTAAAAATTAGAACAATATTTAAGTTAATAATAATAAACAATAAATGCTCAAAATTCTCTCTTCAGAATACTTATTCTATCAATTCAAAAGTTACCACTTTTCGACTTTATCATAAATCCATAAAAATTACAAAATATGTTCAATTTTTAAAATTTTTATTTTACATACATATAACAAATTGATGTTTGTGTGTGTGTTAAACAACAACAAAAAGCACGATAAAAATACGCTCTACACATATAATAATTGGGCACTGTTGGCGTTACTCTGGGCGTGTTTTCAAAATTTCGTCCTTGTTTTTCATGGTTTCTACACAGAGAGAAAATATCACAAAATTCGGGTTTTTGTACTTCGTGATATTTTAAACATTAAATCGATGCATAAATATTTAATAAAAACTATCATATACTATACTAAAAGGTACAAATCTATTGGTCGGCGGTAAATAATATGTAAACATTTTATGAATCAAATCAAATTCCACAGGAGTCAAATCAGAAAGCTAAAATTTATATTAAAATTTCAAGAGTGATGATTTACAGAAAAAAAAATTTAAGAAAATATTTAAAGAGTTATTTATCAAATTTTTCGATAAAAAAATACAGCAATTGCAAGTGGTAAAAATTTTAAGCACAATTTTAAATCGCATTGTGTAGAAACAGAAAATATTTTTGCCGAATACTTTTCTTTTCAAATAAAATATGTAAATAATTGTTGTGATAAATAATATAACATTAACATTTTTACTTTGATTTGAGGTATAATATTCATATTAAAAAGTTTCCTGAAAGCGCTTTAAACTTTCTTTATGATTATTGGCTTATAATCAGCTGACCATTATTTACTTAATTAAGTGAGCGTTTTAGCAAAGATTTTCAATGAAAATAGTTTTAAGAACCCGTTTCGAATGATATTTTTGTTTAATGCTTATCACTGTTCCAACTGTTATGACTTTTTCCCTGTGTAGACTATTTCCCAAACTAGACATCTATGTTGTCCAGGACATTGTCGATGAGGCCGATGACTTTCTGGCGAAATCGTCGGTTCTGCTTGCCGCTCATCTCCTTGAGGTACGGATGCAGGCTGATCAGAAAGGAGTAGTCGGCATCTGGTGGCGAAGGAATGGACAGGGGTCCTCCGGTTAAAGCTCCCAACGCTGGCGTGGCCGGCGGTGGCGGTGGTGTGGCTAACTTGTGTGGATTCAGGTGGCTTAGGTGACTGCTGTTGCCGTTGCCGTTGCCAATGCCATTGCCGTTGCCCTTGAACCAGTGCGTCAGATCCGTCCAGTCCAGGTGGTTACCCAATGCAGCGGCGGGCACAGAGACCAGCGACGGATGATGACCCACGAGCCTGTCTAGCTGGGCATTCGCATGTGGATTGAGGGAGGGCTGCTCCAGTTTGATGGCTTGCAGGCGGACCGGCAGACAGGCGGTGGGTTGCTGTTGCTCCTGATCCCGATTCTGATCCCGATCCGTATCCCGATCCGTATCCCGCCTTGAATGGTCCTCCGCCTCCTCCTCCTCGGAAACCTGCACATCCAGCGGCAGTTCGCTGTCACTCTCCTTGGCCTCCTCGTCATCCTCGTGCTGATTTGGATCCGGATACATGGCCATGCCACTGGAGGTATTGCCTGGCTTTCGGAGCACCATCCCAGCCGCAGAATTGTTGCCGGGTGCAGTCCCCGCCGGCAGCTGCTTGTGGCAGGATCGGGACTTGGTGTAGGGAATGAGGAACTGCAGGTACTTGGACAGGTAGTATTTGCGCTTGCCGCGGCCCGTTTGTGTGCGAGCCAGCTTCAAGGATCGGAGGAAGCTGCTCCTAATGGTGCGCCACCTCTCGCGACAGTTGCGCACTGAAAAATGTTAAGAGGAAAAAGTTTTACTATTAATATAGTTTAATATGGAATAAAACTATATATGCAGTTTCTATACTGCAAATATTAACGAATTCTATTTCAAATATTTTTAAAGTTTTACTTTAAATACTTTCAACGTTTTGGTAATGCTATTTGAAATAGTTTTTATTTACATATATATTATTTATACATACATAATATATATTTTTAAATTTATATATTTTCTATACTGCCACTTATTAACGAATGGAATTAGCCAAATATTTTTTACAATTTTACTATAACAACTTTTATCTTTTTAATATTGCTATTTAAAATAGTTTTGATTTAATATATACAAAATAAAATATATATTAGTGCAGCAATTGAAAATTAGATAAAATATGTAAAGGGTAAACTTTTTTGTTAAAATCAAATATAAGGGATCGTTGGCCTGATTTTTTTTTTTGAGTGTATTTTCACCAAGTGCAGCAATTGCCGTGCAAAAGCAAATGACGAACGCAAAAGCAACAGTAACTAAAAAGCAAACGCAAGAGCAGCAACAAAATGCAAGCCAAAACTGCGCGACACAGTGACACACCTACACAAGCAAAAGAAATAGTGAAAACAACAAAAATTGCATGGGATCCAAACGCAGACAAGCAACAAAAAGCTTGCATCATAGACACACACATACATAGATGCACAGCGAATTGAGCACGCAATTGGCGGCGCGGAAGAAGAAGAATGAGGCGGAAAAGCGATTGTTTTTGCACCGATTTTGTTTTTCTTTCTTGTTATTGTTTTATATAGACTTACCCGTGTCCTTGATCTCATTGGCCACCTGCTGCCACGCCCTCTGCACCTCCTCCTTTTTGCTGTACCCCGGATGCGTATAATTCCACAAACAGGGCTGATTTTCGACGAATTGCACGAACCGCACGTTGAAAACGGGATCGTCCTTGCGTGCCATTGTGACCCAGCACATGCCTCCGTCCCGCTCGTCCCCACGTCGTTTGCCGTAGATTGCTCGCTCTCTTTCTCTCTAACGGTAAGCCACACACACGCGCTCAGGGGCGTCACCAAAGGGGGGAAACCGTGGGGTGTCGAAAAAAAATTGGGGGGCGAACGCAGCAAGTACAGCAACAACTGCTCGCAGCGGCCGCGCAACGAAAACTGAGCGTTAAAATCCCACTGCGCGCAAATTGCAAATTGCAAATAGCAAATAGCAACAAAAGCTGCAGCGCAAACACTTTATGCTGTCACAAAACAGCAGCAACAACAAGTGGTATTGCTTTTAGGGCAGAAGGGGAGTCTAACGACCAGCAAATTCTTTACACAGAAAAAAATAGGGAGCTTTTTAAATTGAAATATGCATATAATGCGAAATTGTCATCAATTATAGAAAGCATGATTAGGATTTAAGACATTTTTTCATAGATTTGGCTTAAATATGTTTTAATATCTGGTGATATGTTATTCTATTAATGTTTTAATTGGTATATTTTTAAAATGATCTTTTAATGCTTTAATTAAATTCTATCTTATGGAATATTGGGTTATTTAAAATAAATCATAGCTAAATTCAAATTTTATTTCTAGCTTTCGTTTTATTTATTTATTTGTGCTAATGTGTGCCCGATAAGCTTGGTTCAGTTATAATAATAAATTCAGAAATAGTCCAAAATGAGTTCCGATACATAATTACCGAGTAATTCGATATACCCCGATGACTTCGCTATTACCGCATATCGAAAAAATCAACGACAAACAACAGCTGCAGCAGTGCAATAAAAATTGTATAAGCAACGCAATTCAAATGCAGCACTTGCAACCTTTGTGTGTGTGCGTGTGCGGGTGCTTGTGTGTGCGAAATAAAATAAAAGCTTTTGCGATGACGTCACAGGCTGCATTTGTTGCATGCAATGTAAAGTAAGGAAAGCAAAAACAATCAAAGACAACAAGTGCTGCAAACACAAATTAGGCTAAAAAATTGTTAAATTGCTGAATTCATAATTGATCTTTATTCAAAAGAATATAAAAAGCTTGATCATTCATATAGTTTAAATACTTTTTCCTATTATAGGTATGACTAATACCATAGTAAATAAAGTTTTATTAAAGTAATAATAAAATCCAGCTTACTGAAAAATTTACTTCAAAAATGTATTTAATTTATTCAAAAGCCTTTATGTAGTTGGCAGATTGTTCTGTACAAAAAACTTAGCACTAATTTTCTTTAATTTAAAAACTACTTTTTCGATTAGCTTAGTTCTTTAAATTGTATATAGATTAGTTATTTGTATTAAACCTTTAATATTTTACGAGAATAATATGGTATTTGTAATGTATGAATAATTTTAAGCTTGACCAGCGGGTATACTTTCAAATACATCGATAGTTCCCCGCCAAGTTCACAAATCGATAATAATATCGATAATTTTGACACACTATCCAACACTTCAGCTGGTCGCATATGTAATAGAATTGCTAGTTTTTTTATTTTGTTGGGAAATCGCTCAATATTCTACCGAAAAACATGGCAACCAGCGGGAAATTGATGCTGAGTAATGGCCTCTGCCAAAAGCTGAGTCAGGTGAGCTCTTATTCCGCACTATTCAGTGACAAAATGCCTAAAATCAATTACATTTTACGTGCAGATCACAAGGCAGTTGCACATGCAACCGGCACTCTTGTCCAGTTTTCGATCATCCCGCGAAGTTCAGGATCTGGATAAGTATCCCAATGTCGAGGTGGTGGCCAATCCGCCCGAATGGCGTCATGTGGAGCGCCTGCTGCCGGCGGAAACAGTGCCATCGCCGGTGGAAAAGCCCAAATATCCCTCCGGTTGGCGGCCGCAAAGGGAAAACGGCTCGGAAACTGGATACTTTGTGGCCAGGACCAAGAATCACATGGTGCCGGTATATTTGCACACCCGTTTTCGTGGCCAGCGCAGGATCACGGTGGTGCGTCGCGTCCAAGGAGACATCTGGTCGCTGGAAAAGGATCTGCGGGCGGTTGTCGAGCAGTCGCGGAATGGCAAACTCTGCGCCACAAGGATCAACGAGCTAAGCGGACAGATCCACTTCCATGGCGACCATGTGGACGTCCTGCGGGATTATCTCAAGGAGAAGGGCTTCTAAAGCTACCCAGATGTCCTCCCTTTGCCGCAATAAACTCTATTCTGTTGACTTAAATGCGTTTTCTGGTTATTTTGCACTGGAATTGAGGTTGAGTGGCATACTTACTTTCATTTGCACTTTAGAACAAATAACATTGCCCAATGTTTCGATTTGTATGCTGTCGTAGACCACAACTGATCTCAGACAGCCTCTCTGTTGAATTTCAACTTAAACGTACAAATTTATAACAACTATAGACGGTTATATATGATTTCTTATGACCGCACACCCACTTGGCTGCAGTTCGTTTTTATTAAGCTCTTAACGTTAAGCATAAATTACATCGTCTGGATGGGGGATTTGTATTCTGAGAGTGGTGCGCAGGGCCCTACGACTAAAATCTAGAGGAAGGAGTAGGAGTACGAGGAAGGAGGGGCCAACTTAGCACATAGAATAAGTCTGGTTCGGGCTCTGGGGAGCTCTGCTACGGCTACTGCTATTTTATCGCTGCAACTACATCTACGTCTACGGCTGCTGCTGCTGATGCTACTGCTGGTTCCTCGGCCGCGGCCGTCAGGTACGCGTCAGGCGGGCGTAGGCAGCTGCCACGCCCCACCGCTATCCACTGGCTCCGGCCATGGCCGGCATCCCGGTCAGACTAACGCCCACACTCACGCCGGACGTGGGCGTGACTGTGCCGGCGGTGGCGGTGGCCGACGAGGAGGAACGCTTGAGGGCCTTGCGAATGATCGTCCAGTCCTCCATGATGTCCTCCTCGCGCAGCATATACACCACATACGGTCCGGTGACGGTCACCGCCTTCTTGCGCCCCGGACCGCGCACCTTGCTCTGGCGCTTGTCGGTGCCCCAGTCGGCCCACGAGATGTCCACGTTGTGGCGGTCCTCCTCCAGGCGGCGGATGCGCTCCACCAGCTCCTCGCGCAGGTTGTCCACCGCCATGTGCTTCTCGCTCTGCAAATGGAAGGGGAGTTGTTAAAGTTTTCGCACTATCTCAGTCAGAATGTGATGATGTTTCTTAATGCATTTCACACTTCAGTTATTAATTCATGCATTTATATTTCATTTATCATCAAAAACTAGATCCTAATAATTTAAAACTCTTAAGATCCTTTAACAAAATCAAAGCAGAGGTCTATTTCATTTGCAACTTGATTAGAAATCGAACAAGTTTACAATAAACAATAATTTGTTTATAAATGTATTAATCTGAGTTTTGGTAATATTTTTGATGCAAAATTCAAGCGCATTCCTTTCTTAAGTAAGAAATTTCCTATAAAGCGGTTCTATCTTGTCAAAATAATTCCTAATACTAATAATTTCACCACAAATTCATAGCTAGTTTAATTACGATACTATAATCACCCAGGAAATAAAGAAATCTATTGATCTGCAATATTTAATGGAAAATTGTCCCTTCTGTTTTAGTCCTTTATCTTTTGATAGTATTATTAATCATCAAACAAGTAAATTAACCCCTTGAAAGCTAATCTGATTGCGATAATATAATCACCAAGTTGGCCTTGCATTTTTTGGCGCCAAAAAGCGTTGAGTGTACCTCAAAGTGCTGGACGGCCGCTTGTTCCTCGGACTGGTACTTGTGCTCGATGTTCTGGAGGCGGTACTTGCGCAGGACATCCGCCACCTCGATCCTGGTGCGATAGATCTTGTCCAGCTCCTTTTGCGGCTGCACAAACTCCTCGGAACGGCCGGAACGCACCTCGGCCAGCTGTCGTTCGATGAGATTGATGCGCTCGAAGTAGTACTGCTCCCTCAGGGCGTTGAACTGCCGTTCCAGGCTCACTGAAAAAAAAAAAACAAAGGGATTGCGGATGAGCGATGGATGAGGAATGCAGGCCAAGTCCCGGCGATTCATACACAAATCCTCGATGTGCTCCGCACGCCGTCGCTCGATTTCGCTGGCATCCAGCTCCGAGGAGTCATCGGAGTCGCATTCGTTGGCCTCCTCCTCGTCGGAGGTGTCATGTGCCTGGCTGGAGTTCGAGTGCTCCGATTCTCCGCCAGAAACGTCGCCTTCGCCGTCCGACTCTCCATTCTTCACGGGCATTTCGACGGGGCTATGGCGGTTCTCCTCGTTGCACGCCTTTCTTGAGGGGGTTTCCGATTCTGCGACGGTCTGCAGGTGCTCACCGACTTAAGCACTAATGTTTTGTTTATTTTGCAACTCTAAAGAGTAGGAAAAGTGGGGAAAACTTTGTGAAAAACTACGTTTTCTTGCGAGCTGTAGCAAAAAAGTGTGGGGCAGCGCTGCGTGGGCAATGCAGTGTTGCAAAGCGCACGCGGGACGTTAAATGGCTAGAAAATGGCTACATTTGTTTTTAATTCCTTTGCAAATAATATGGCTATTTTTAAAGAGAGTATGAAAAAATCACGTATTTTTATTTTTTTTTGAGTTATTTAGAACCTTTGCTATTCATTGATTTGAAACTAATTTTTTTCCAATTAAATTATAATTAATATAAGCTAGGTTTTATTAAATTTATTTTATTTGCTTAACTTTTCGGCTTATTTTGTTTGTTTTATATAATTTTTAGTTTGAAACAAGTATTTATTATTGAAATATATTTAATATATATACTTTTTTTTAATGAAATAAACAAAACTCGATACATGTTATTTTTACTTATATGTATTCACATTTTGTTATAGCTAAGAACTAGCTATTTTTGGCGCCACACTGCCATCGCTTGGTGACGAACGCAGCTGATGAGTGGCCAGCTATCGATAACCGATAACCTTACGCTGCCAGCAAAATTTTTGGGGCCAAGTGGAAAATACGTGTAATATTTACAATAAGCGAACCCCAAAGCAGTTAGTTCAACTAATATCCAAATGGAGACCCCCACGGCCGACGATCTGCTGCAATTCCGCGACTATAGCGGCGGTGCCCCGGCCCAAATCAATGTTAATTCGCCAACGCACGGTGGTTCTTCCGGCGGCGGTTCCATTGGCTCCATTGGCGGTGGTGCTGGTGGTGGTGGTGGTGGTGCCAACGCACAGCGTCAACGCGGCGATCCGCTGGCGGATTTAATCTACGACATGACCA